GGTGGGTGAATGGGTGGCTAGTAGGATGGATAGATGGATGGATGGAGGAACGAATGGACAGATGGACAGATAGATGGACAGATGGACAGACAGAGACAGATAGGCAGACAAATAAATGGATGACAGGTTTGAGAAAATTTGGCTAATGAGAAAGAATGTTTACTCAAACATAAAATCCTATTTGAAAACAAGTGTCTCCACATAGGAATTCAGACCAAATTCTATTTCTACTTAGCACAGTTTTAAGCACTTTTATTTTTTGCAGTAAAATAGAATTATATAATATTGCAATCCCACCTTTACTGAAATGCTAAACATTTAAAGCCAGTGGGTTTGTGTCTCTCTAGAAGAGTTCTGGGGGTTAGCAGGAATATGATTATCTGCATTGAGCAGACATTGTACTGATGGGCCATACTTTGCTCCCAGCTCCCTACCAGCTCTCGTCCAATCCTATTTTGTTAAATATTGCCTAGACTTTGTCCCTGTGAAGTGATGAAAGGAACAAAATGAAGAGACTCTGCTCCCGTCTATATGCCAGGCCTGGGTCCTGTCGATCTGGGCCAGCAGCAGTGGTTTCTGTGGCAGGTGCTAGAGTCTCACACGTAGAATCAGATTTCCTCCCGCCAGCCACTTCTGAACCCTCATGCTCGGCACTGAACCGGTGATGGGAAAGCCTTGCTCTGAGTCAGCGTGTACCCACAGAAAAGTGGTCTGATAGGTTTGAAACAGAAGACTAAAGGGCCTAAGCGGTGGTTCTGAATATGGTCCTGCCAGCCCGCCACCGCCCACACTCCTACCTCTTCCATCTGCCCAGTTGATGGGGATGCTAAGATGCTTCTACTCAGACATTCACTGGTCCTACATCCCCACAGAGCTGGTGGCATCTGGAAAGGAGTGTCACCAGCCTTTGCCATGATTTTCTCATACCTCTTGGACCATCAGGGCCAGGAGGCCCTTGATCTCCAGGTGGACCCGGGTAAGGAATGTCGCCCTTAGGAACTCTTCCTGTGGCACCTGCAGGACCAGGTGGGCCAGGTCTTCCTGAGGAGGGACATGTTCAGATGTGAGCCTTGTTACGTTTGGAAGGTTTTGATTCGTTATTGAGAGAGAGGGGCAAAGAATGCTGCTTCTTACCTGGGGGGCCTGGGGGGCCTTTTTCTCCAAAACGCCCTGGAGGAGAAATTCCTGGGCTCCCAGGGTCACCTGTCTCCCCTTTCAGCCCAGGCATTCCCACTGGACCAGGCGGGCCCACTTCATTCAAGCCTTAATGAGGAGAACAGCATTAGCCCTACATCCTCTCCTTGCTCGTCCCTGTCATGGTGCTTGAAAAGAAACTGCTTACAAATGACATTGTGACAGGAAAGCAGCTGGCTCTGGAGAGACCAACCAGGGCCTGCAGCAGTGTCCAAATGGTCACATACATTTCCTGAGTCGCCATTTACTTTCTTAAGACCCGTCTCACTGGTCAGCCATAGGTTTGATTTACTTTAGAATTATTTCCCAGATTGAAAAAACAACAGCTTAGTGACAATACCTACTTTCCAACCTCTACAACAGAAAGAGTGAAAGCAAACAGAGATCCAACAATAAGTAATTATGAATAAACTGTTTTAAAATCAAAGGTGGAAAATGACATGTAAATAGAACTATTGTAGAGTTTTACATTAAAAAAAAAGACAGTTCGTTGGTTTCCCAGAGGGAAGAGGAGACACACACTTTATCAGACTATTTGGAAGAACCACTAAACAAATCCTAACTGTCCGAAATTACGACTTCACCATTCAAACTGTATAAAGATTCAACAGATTCGAATCCAGCAGCACCACAGTTCAAATCTTTCCCCACAGCCTCTCAAATCTTCATGTCTGATTCCAGTTACCCTGTCTGATGGCGAGCTAGGTTTCTGAGAAAGTAATGCAACAAATGTGCATTATATTAAAATAACAGAACAATCATCATCAGTTGTTGATGATTGCCTATTCGTAATATCGAAAATAACAGTAATTTGTTCAGGTAATTTGTTTTAGCAGCAGGCTATTGAGGCATGCTAAAAGTACTAATTAGACCCATGTGGTTGTACTTGGCATTGTTACATTTAAAACAATACCAAAAAAATCCCAACTATTTGTTTTTCATAACATTTTGAAATCTACTCCACCTCAGCAATTATTCAGAGCATTTTTAGTAGAGAGATAGTCTCAAGCAATATCAACAAAAGACTCTATTAACCAACCATTCTGTCTTAAATTGGGTTTTCTCAAATGTCCTTTTTACATAAGTTATTTGGCACTAAAAATAGTTGCAATATTGCGTCTCTAAGCTAAGCCAGTTTCTTAGTTTCAAATCTTGTGAACTGTGGAAATACCAGTGGTCCACTGACTGCAGTTACATCTCTCACAGAGGGTTTTCTCTTACCTGAAGCACCTTTGGTTCCTTTCTGGCCCTTTAGACCATGCAAGCCATCCAGGCCAGGTAACCCCACGGGACCTGAAACACATCACAGGCCTGTGACCCACAAGGGAAGACCAGCCATTGACCTTCACTGTCCAGAACTGGCAGGCACCACCCAGAGGGTCTGCTGATGGAGCCAGACAGATTCTGCAGGCAGGAACCATGAGCTCTCACCGTCTAGATGTCATCATCAGGGCTGAAGCCATGCCAACCATTATTCTTTAACACATTCACTTGATGGACATCATCTGCCAAGACTGCTGAACACATCCATTTGTTTAGTTTCAAAGTACCTCTGTGGGTTTACAACCATTTCATGAACATCTCTCTCTAAACCAAACACAGTCTAGAATTACTGAATCATGGTGTAGAAAGAGACTTTCGATTTTATGATAATAAAATCATCCTAAATGAAGAAAGAGACTGGACGGGAGCAAACCTAGGCCTCCTTCCTCCCAGGGTCAGCATCTTTCTAGCCCACCGTGGTCTGTAAATTCTAACTTCTGCAAGATCTGATCAGGTAAACGTAGTAAACACAGTAACACAGTAAACACAGTCAAGACAGGTGGGGCCTGTGGTATACTGGGGAATACATGCCCTACCTAATTTTTTTAAAAGCACTGTGCTACTCAGAAAGAAAAGGTTTACAGGTCAGTAGGGCTGCAGCTCTTTCTTTGCAACCATTTCTTTCAAAGAGAACCATTCTTGTGCCTCTTTTCAGAAATCGAATTTATTTTACGATGATCTTTGAAAACTCCAGTCTCTGTAATGACATAGGACCTCACCTATGCCTTTGTATTTTTAAAGAACCTTCTGTCAGACATCAGCATAGTTCTCTAAGGAGACATCTACCAGCCCGACTCTACTGAAGTTGTCACTGAACACTGGATGCCTATAGAACTATATACAGATATTTATAAATCTTTATTATAAATATACTATATAAGTCTATTTAATATAAATTACATAGGGAGAAAGTAGAGAGAAGAAAAGGAGGGAGAGAGGAAGAGAAGGTGGCAGACAACCAACATATACAGAGCATCTCCCAGGGGGCTGAGCCCTCTGCCCGGTGCTTTACGCACATCATGTCCCACTGATAGATCTGGAGGAAGGAATCTTCTCAAGCCTGGTAAACTTCCTCTTTCACGAATGGATCTTCCATCTAGTAGCTGTTCTTTCTCGTCCAAGGATACAAGCCCCTTGGTGCACAGTCAGCCATTCAAACAGTTTAGGGTCACAGTCCGTGAATTTGTGATAGTAACAGCCTCAGCTTACATGACTAACACAAAGAAAGCCTCAGCTTACATGACTAACCCTTCATCTGCCCCATGACACCTACACAGACTCCCTAGATGCCTTCATGCCAGTCTCGTGCTGTGTGACTGTCATGTCTTTGGGTGACTGGTTTACTGTGGGTAAATCGATTGACTGCAAGATCAGGTCTTATTAGTCTTTCTGTGTCCCCACTTGGCATAGCTCTTGACGCACAGTAGGTGTTCATTAAGTGTTTGTCGAATGAATGAGTGAATGAATGAGTGAGAAAGTGTGGAACACAGAAGGTGAGGGATTGAATGAGTGAAGAGAAAGCCATAAAAAATGGACTATAATTTCTATTTGCGTGTCACATGTTTCTGCGATTGATTTATAGGATGAGTAAGATTTAGGGAAGTCGGAGGTATCCATTTGTATATAAATAAGTCAAGTGCTAATTATTATCCATTCATTAAAGCAAGTCCTCTGTGGACTTCTTATCAGAAGACAGAAAGTTGGTTCCATTTTATTTATTATCAGTATCTGAAACAGATGGTTACTCTATTTTTAAAATCTAAACTTTAGATTGGTGCAAGTGAGCCATATTCTCTTGCAACACTGTTCCCCCCTCCCCCCAAAAAAAAGAAAAAATGGGAATGCACTCTTATTTTCCCTAAAGCTCTTATTTCCTAACCACTTTTAACAGTTCTGGCTTAGTTTATTTTCCAATCCTCTTGCCTATTTATGAGCCAATGTTCCCAGTTTGCACCAAAGGAACACACAGACCTTCTTCATCTGCCAAATCTAGATATTTATTGCAATCTATCTGAAATGATAATAAATTTTTTGAGACTACTTTGCTATTGCAATGTGTTTTGATCTCCAGCTTAAGCCACCAAGATTGATGGTTTGGGGGAGTCGGCTCGGGGGTGGAATGTCTCAGCTTCTGCCAACTCTCCATTGTCACATCAACACGTCCAGATCCTGGGTTGTCACAGTCCCAGCCCCTAGCCATTGTTGAACTGGCCGACCCTTATCTGACCCAATGTTATCTTTCTACATTGAATGCAGCTACATCTGGGTAGGATTTTAAGGGCAATTTTTCCTTTTTACTGAAAGCTTTTTATCAATCCCATCTCTAAATCAGAAAGTTGTTCATGCATAAAATATATACAGCGCAGATGAGAGGCAATTACGCTAACGAAGCACATTCCTTGGTAATGAGGATTTTTATTCACCTCTTTGCTCGTCTTCCTGCTTAACAACCGTCATTCAAGGCTGCGTGGCGCTCACGGCCGGGGTGTTTTCTCCTTCCAGTCACTCTAGTCTCCACTCCAGCCATAATCGCCTTCATCTGCGATAGCCGGCGACGCTTTGTGACTGAATTTCCACTCTGTTTTCTTTTGTTCTAAAGCCTGAAAACACTCTTCTATGTCCACGGGCCTTTATACAATTTTATACTTTTAGTAGGAGGGGGGACCAACTTGTCCCTGTTTGTTGGGGGCCTTCCCAGTTCTAGCACTGAAAGTTCCAGGTCCTGAGACGCCCCTTCAAGCCCAGGCAAACCAGGACACCTGGTCACCTTAATGCTAAAGCCGACAGAAGAGAGAGGCCTACGTGATTATGGGTAATAGCTGAACCAAGTTGGAAACTTATCAAAACAGATTCTGAAGTAAGATTTGTTTATTTTTTTTAAATCCAGAACATACACGAGTGCCTACTGAAGGAAGGCCCGAGAGCATAAGACATGATCTCCTAACCCATGGAGCTTCAGTCCCCAAACGTACTTAGGGACAGGCGCTGAAGGAAACAATGAAGAACCGGAGAGAAACAACCCCAAACTTGACAGAACAAACAGACGGTTACCTCAGGACTGGTAAGTGCTGTGGGGGCAGGGCGGGCGGGGACACTCTAGTCATAAAAAGGGAGGGACAATGTGTCTAAGATTTTCACAGCTATAAGATGCCTGGCATTTCTTCGCTGATATAAGACATTTCAAGATGTTTTCTTCTTATGAAATTTATTTTACTTGCCACCAAATAACCCAATATAACCAAAATAAACCAATCTACATCCTTTACCATCACCATCAAGCTACAGACAGTTGTCTTTTGGTTTCCATCATCCAATCCTATATGAATGCCCAACTAGGAATTGAGTGTCTTCCTTCTAGAGGGTATAGGCACTTGAAAATTTAAATCTAGGAATCGAGCCATTTTTAGCATGTTTAAGTTAAAGTTCAAATCTGACTGAACGTAAGCAGGACTCAGAATCCATACGGCCCGTCCTAACAGAGCAAACAGCTGTGAGGTCAGCAGCAGCTGGTTTGTTCAAACAAGATCATCAGGCCCCTCGACTTATTTAGAACATACTTCAAATATTTAGTTCCTCAGTTCAAAGAGTTTCTGCTGGAGCGCGATTCATTTTTATATCAGCGTGATGAAGTGCGGCAATGGATTTATGCTGTAGACATTTTTAATTTTTAGGAACGTATCTTAGTGTTTTGTTTGTTTCTTTTAAAGACTAGTCATTCACAGTGAAACAGTGTCCCTGCATGGTCACGAAGCACCACTGCAACATCCGTCTATACACTGGTATGAATATTTGGGTCGATATAATCATTTCCTCGCGTTCTTAACAAATTTATTTCATAGCACAGAGTTAGAATGTGATGGTGATGATTTTCTGAGTGATTTTATTTGATCGAATGCATTAGCTATTAGTTTTTTAATAACATCTCATGCTAAAGGTATGTGATTAATGCAAACTAATTCAAGGGAAGGAAGAAACAATAGTAAGAGGCGCCTTGTCATTTTAATCAAACTGTGTCTATACTGTTTATACTGTTATGGCACCAGACACTTGAAAATCCTTGCTATTTTACTGAACTAGTAGGATAGGAAGAAATGGAAATACAATAAGAGTGGTTAATAATGGAAAATGTTTTCTTTTGGTTTTTTACCAATTTTGTCTTCCAGATACTCATAAAAGTGTCAAAGGATGCTCCGCCAGAGCCATAAGGGTTGGCCAGAGATATGCAATGGCCACAATAACTAGAGAAACTCTTAACGCAAATTATCCTTTTGCTTGAAACCCTAAACTTATCACAAATCACTGGACTTCACATTATTAAAAATGCCAATAAAGAGAGAGAAAAACAATACTAAGATATCTTGTCTTGCGATGAGGACTTTTCCCATCAAGTTATTTGGCTTCACAGAAATTCCTAAGTGTAGCAATCTTTCAAAATAAAAGTTTCCTTTCTGCAGAATTGCTCCAGGTAATACGTACGACACTACTACTTGCTGGAAAGCTGTTATTATTTGAAAGATGTTATTGTTGAAAGCGAGCACCCACATACGTTCTGAATTTAAAGAGTTGAGGGTATGGAGAAACATCATTTGGATTTTTAAAACAATAACATGATTAAGTCCAAAAGAAAGGATTTCCAATGCTTCCAAGGGGAGGTTCTTTTCCTTTAGCCAAAATTTGGTATACGTATGAGTCAACAAGCAGAGATAAGTGGGAAGAAGAAGGGAAGGAGGAAGAGACTGAGGGGGCTTGGTTACATAAATCTACCAAGTAAGCCTTGAATCCTCAACTGCCGATTGAGATAAAGACCCTCAACTCCACAGCTGCTGGCTCGGTTCTTCATTCTTCTATTTATCTACTTTTTTATTTATTACTTTATTCGTAAACTTAAAAATACTTATAGTAAACAACCAACAGACTTATCAGGTATTTACTAGGAGCCAAAGATATAAAAATGGTGCTTGCTTTTTAAAAAAATCATATTCTACTTGGTGAGAAAGACCTCTAAACAAACAAATGTGACACAATGTAAGTGTTATGCTAAAGGCGCACACAAAACACCCATGGAAAAATGGTTTTCTTTCTAAAATGGAAGAAATAAACTGAAGAGGAATAAGTACAATGGATAAATGGGGGAGGGGACGAAGACTTGTTAATAATAAATTATATATTATGTTGTTATGTTATATTATATTATACAGACCTATATAATAACCAGTCTACTATACCTTTCAAGCCAATAATTCAACCAAGAAAAAATAGTGTTTTACCACAAAAAGGTAATGAATACTAGTTCTTCTTTCTCCATAGCATCTTATTCTTTTTCTTCTACTTGTCACAACTGGTAAATACATATTGTTTACACATACATTTTTAACATGTGTGTCTCTTACTAAACTGTGAGCTCCATGAAGCAGGAACCACATCTATTTTCTTCAAACTTCTGTACCTAGTATCCAGAATCTAGGACATAACAGAAGCTTAACTATCTGGGGAGAGAATAAATGGATAGGCCTGAACATTATGGAAAACACTGGGGAAAATGCCCCCCCTCCCCCAAATGAGATGGCAGCATCATCATTTGGGTACAAGGTAGGTAAGGACACTAGACAAACACTGCCTGAAGCCTCAGGTAAGAAAGAAGAGGAAGGTGCTACTGATATCTGTGGGCAAGAGCTATGACCAAGAGCGATGTCACCCATGTGCTGGAAAGGCACTGTGAATTTGCCCCATTGGCCTGGATCTTTCTGATGGGTCAGGCTTCTATTCGACTCACCTTTTATGCCTGGAAGACCTGGTGTCCCTGGATCCCCCGTCTGGCCTCTTGGTCCAGGATCCCCCATTTCTCCTGGATGTCCCATTGGCCCAGGCACCCCTTGATTACCTGAGGATGGCAGGGAAGTTTTGCAGACACCCAGATGCAAAATGAGCTACATTAGCTGGGAAAGTCATTTATGTTCTTAAAATATGAGTAACCAAGACACTTTTTCTTCCTAGACCTCCTAACTCTAGGGAGAAAAATACACTTCACCTCAGAAGGAGAAAATACACTTCTGAGCCATTAAAGTCGCCAATTATGATTTTAAACCCTCACTTTATTCTGAACTGGCAGAAAGAGGAGTCATTAAAATGTTGTGCTGTATGTATGATATTTACCTTGAGTCTTAAGGAGAAAAGAAAACCAGCATCCTGAATGGCAGGTGAATTAGGGAAAGCTAGAAATAAGCTTCTATCTGTCAGACTACCCTTCATGCCTGGCACTCTGCTAGGCACTTTATAGGTGCCCAGATCAATCCAGTAAGATAGGACTAGCTCCAACTGACAAGTAAGGAATAGCTAAGTTTAAATGACTTGTCCAAAGTCACAAGTCTGAGAACTGGCAGAGCCAGATCTGAACTCAGGTCTAAGTGTAGGCTGACTCTTTCTGATGCACCAAGAGATACATAAGCACCTTGGACTGTTCCCAGCTTCTTTTCAAGATACCTGGACATCCTGGTGGTCCAGAGGGGCCAGGCAACCCTGGCCTTCCTGGTGGTCCTTTCTGCCCTTGAACACCAGGCAAGCCCTTCTCTCCGGGGACTCCAAAATGCCCTAGAGAAGGAAAGATCAAGATCTGAGTAGTTGCTCTTTGATGCAGTAAATCTAGAAAACCTCCACATTCGGCCATTGCTATTCTTCCCTATGCTTACTTTCTTATATTAACAATTTTTCTATTGAAAATATAATATTAAGGAAAATTGAAAATAAAACACCTATAATTGCACCACCTTATACAACTTTGCATATGCATACAAAGTGCAAATAATATCAATAATTTTATATTCTGATTTTTAAAATTAGCATTGAATCATAGGTAATTTTCCAAGTTTGTCACCATTTTCCTAATTATTATTTTTAAATAACTGGCTGATAGCTTATTGAATTAATCTAAATTAAATTAATTAATCCAAATTTTTCCTACTATCGGCCACTCAAATTAAGTTTTTTCTCTATGCTATTATGCATAATGATCTTTATACATCATTAATAAACTTTTCTACTATTAAATTATTTTATTAGGAAAAATTCCTAGGAGTAGAATTTCTAGGTAACATGGTATGATATGTGGGGTCTTTTTTATTCATTTTAAAATGCTGAAGTATTTTAAAGTAAATCACAGACATCATGGAATTCCAACCCTAAGTACTTCAGGAGGTATGGCATCTGAAAAATGGCATTTTCCTACATAGCCAAAATAACATTATCATAGCCAAGAAAATTAACAACGATTCCTAATGTTGTCTAAACTCATTCGATATTTGAGTTCCCCGACCTGTACCCTTAATGTCCTTCATAGCTGCTTTGTTCACACGAGGCTCCATTCCAGAACCACGCATTGCATCTGGTGGATATATCTCTTAAGTTAAAAAAAAAAAATCTATAGAGAACAGTTTGGTTGTTCTCTGGTCTTCTAGAATAAACTATTCAGCATTTGGTTCATGATAGAGGTTACCAAATGGTTTGGATAAATACTGTTCTAATTCGTACCATCACATGTAAGCCACCCATGGCTCCATCAATGCACATCCAAGACTAGGGCAGGTACTCAGTGAGGACTTTTTAGTCCGGTGGTTGGTTTTCTTGCCAATTGAGTAAGGATGAAATAATATCCCAGACTTACATTAAATCACATTTCTTTGAGGACTAGAGAAAATGACTACTTCCCCCTGTGTTTATTTCCAATGTGTGACTTTAATACAATAGGGTAAACCAATAGTCTGGGCTAAAAAGGAGCAGTTGAATCAGCGAATAAAATAGAGGGCTCTGTATTTACATATCCTTGGAGGTACAGTCATTTATTATAATGCACATAAGACAAACCTATGTTAGCCTATATCTGTTTCCTGATCGAAATTAATATCTATGAGGCTCTCTCTCTTTATTTTATTTATCTTGCAAATATTACTATAGTAAAAATAAGGCAGCATTATTCTCATCTACAAATGAAAACAACTGTATTAAAAAGCCTGCCTCCCTAATAGCAGTTGTAGTAAGAACAGAACTTCTGAGTTCATCTGTGCTATATTTTCTCTCTGAATTGCAGGGGGGAGGGAAAACTAAACCCAGTACAAACACACGTAATCCCCTGAGACAGGCAGCAACTCTCTGCCTTCTCATTAGGCATGTTCAAATTCAATGCAGCTTTTTTCAGTCAATGGAAATTGCATATTTAGGTAAACTCTGAGCTGGTGAATAACATATGATGTAATTTTTAAATTTTAAACAAAAGCTATGCATATGGGAAAGAGAACAATTTAAATGTGTTAACTACAGGAGACCAGAGAAGTTACGCCAAGGCAAATTTTCTTTAAAAAGTCTAAATGTAAAATAACTCAGATTTATGATTTTTAAAATAAAATATTAGCTAATATTTTATTAGCAAAGGTTCCATTGTGGACTACTTTCAGCTTATAAAATCTTACTATTTACAGGGTTTATATAAAAATAGCAATAAGTGTTACAAAAACCTCTTAACATTTTGCTGACTGATGATGATGATGATGACTATTACATTTTACATTTGTTTGGCAATTTTCAGCTTATAAATTGCTCTTAAGGAATCTCATTTGATCCTCAGAATGATCCTGCAATATGCATAGGGCCAATTTACAGGCAAGGAAACTGAGCTCAGAGGTGATAAGCAAATTGCCAAGATCTCATGCACAGTAATAATAAGGTTGACCTTGAACCACTGAATTTCCTTTCTGAGATTTCTTACTCTGGTATTTAAGATGAACTCCCATAATGCAAACCTCAAAACTATTTCCCCTCCAAATGTACACTTAAGCTATACATTTCAGTTAAAAATATTGTATTATTTAAATATACTTGACAGTGTCAGAAGTTTAAAAAAAAAAAGCCCACATGAAAGAGAGTGGGAATGGAAGCCATTGACAGAGCGTGTTTTTCTGTTAGACTTCCATTTAAGCAATCAAGTGGTATAAAAACAAAGAAATGGAATTTTCCATAATCACGCTGCTCAGATTTTCTTTCCGTTCTATGGAATGAAACATTGCTATAACCAAACAGAATTTTAAGTTAATGCACAAAACTATTAATATGAGATGCTTTAATTTAAAAGGGACCCATATAAATACAAAACTGGCTTCTAACCTGTTCACTATGAGCTAAATGATGTTGGGTGTAACATGTCTAACCAGTCATCCACGGATGGGCATCGTTCTATCTATGCAATGAGTACCCCTGTGCATGTCTCTTCGTACGCTTGTCTGATTATTGACTTAACATAAATTCCTGTGAGTAGAGTTACTAAGTTGAAGAGTATGCATCTCTTGTCAACCCTGGGTTGTCCACTGTAGCCAGCTGCAGCCTCGCCTGAAGGGCAAGAACTCACTGTTACGTGGCAATCTGTTCTGGGGGATTACACGTCCATTGTTACTGATCAACAAGGTACCATGTTGAAGCACTTAGGTTTATTGTTGGTGATGAAGTTTTACATTTGTTTGGTTTTGAGTAAATGAGATATTTAGTGAAGGAGACATTCAGTGATATCTGAACAATGGCATGCCTCACGGGCATTTGCAGATGCTTCTCCGAGTAGGAAACAAAGGGTTGGAATGACAACCTGCAGCTGTTGTCAGTGTGAGTGGTTATTGTCAAGGTATCATTTTTAATTATGGAGACTGAAAAACAGTCCAAATTTTAATTGCTTGCAGTAGTCATCGTCGACTGTGTCCAAACCTGGGCGTGCCCAGGGAAGTGTAACGTTATGTCAACGTCATTGGTCACAGGAGTCATGGTGGAAAATAGATTGCGAATCCCTGGTGTGTAATCACGATGTCCTCCTAGGCCAGGGGTGCCATGCCGTGTTTAGACATAATCCTTCTGATATGCATTTTAATGGGCACGAGGGGAATAAAATACTGATATATCATTGCCGACTCAAAAGATAAAGTAATTGTTCTATTTTTCAACCAAACTTATTCTTTTTTGTTTTCATAAGAAAAATATGTAGCTCTACCTGGACATCCAGGGCTCCCGGGCTCACCATTTGGACCACGTGGGCCAAACTGACTTGCAGGCTCACCTCTGGTTCCTGTAAGTGACAAAATGCACGAACATTATTTAAGAGAATTTAATTTTGTCTCATACAAGTGACTTAATAACTTTCGCGACATTTGTCTTTACAGTCTATCTTCAAATGTTTCAGGAGATTTTTGAAAAAAATGCTTAATCCAACATAAGAACAAATAGAAACATAGATACAAGATGTGATTTAAAATACATATACAACTTTATAGTTCATACAATCATAAGAAATTACAGATCTTAATAAGTTCAAATTTTTAAATTCTCTAAATAGTTTCAATTTGGGATATCAATGTTAGAAATTATTTGGCACTGAGTGACTAAATCCTTATACTGTGTTTTGGAAACAAGAAGAATTTGTCGCCGTTTCAGCTGCTGCAGTTACATTTCGAGCTCTCTGCAAGGAAGCTCAACTCAATGTCCTTCGTAAAGACAAAGTCACAAAGGCACACTTTATGGATAATTTCACGAGAGGTGGCACGTTCAAAGGCCATTGTAAGCAGCGACTCCCACAGTTCCACAGAGCCATTCCACACTGCTGCAGAATGTTTCCAGACACAAGGACTTATGTTGTAGCTGGGAGCCAGTTAAACAGAGGACTCAAAATGGTATGACAGGGAAGGCCAGACAATAGATGGAGTCACAGGAGAATAAGAGAGCTGATTAGGCATGATTGATAGATCTCGCCCACCAAATACCCCTTTCTAAAGGGTCCCACCCACACCTCACAGATGGTTCTCTTCTACCTGGCCCTACTCATAATTGGAGCTAATTGTTCGAGGAGTAGGAATCTGGTCCATCCCCAATCAACGAGGCTTTACTCCAGAAGTTGGAATAAAAAGCGAGAATTTACGATCCCCGGCTATTGAGGCAGAAAGCAAAAGGATTACATGGTGTAGATTATCATGGAGCCCTGATGTGGAGCATGTTGGAGTGCGATCCAAACGTATCCAGAAAGATCCAGAAAAGATACTAAATAGATAGCGAAGAAACCAGTCGGTAGCCAGATAAGGAAAAAAGAGACCATGGAGAATGGCAGAAAAGTCTCAAGAGAGGAACCATGGGCTGCTTCGGGGCTTGATTCATGAGCCTTATGGTCTGGCAGACTGTGTCTTTTCTCTGTGGGATCCATGAGATATTTTTTACTCCGGTATCTAGAGTGCATTTCAGTTCCTTGCAGACATGGCCTAATATAAGTATAAAGGAAATGAGAAGAGTAGGTTTGTACTTGGAGAGAGGCAAAGGGACTATAATAAATTCATAGGCAAATAGAAGAGGAGCGAGTTCTGAACCCTGAAGCTATAAAGTATCAAAATATATAAAAACTTCTGTACCTGTGACCATTTCTGAAGAAGAGATTTAGACTATTCTTTTTGAATAAATATGTATGCACAGTTCATTTTTTTCTTATAGCAATTATCATATTATTTATGGAATATCTCTCAAAAGATATAGCACGCATCATTGGTGGTAAGAAAGAGGATTTTTTAGGTGGTTCATGAATTAGTATTTTATATTTTAAAGTTATTTATTTTATATTAAAATAAAATGTAACCGTACATCAAATTCATAGATAGTGAGGTTAAAAAGGTGAATCATTTTAAAGTATATTTAAAAAAATATTAACCTAATGGTATAGAAAAATAGTAAAAATTATAAAGGTTTTATGCAAACATTATAATTGACGGTATCCTGATTTCTGTTTGTTTCAATATTAGGTCGACTTTCAACTTCTGTTTCCTGGAAAGGTGATGAGGGTAGAATGTAGGCTGTGTTACAAGGCAACATTGTTTTTGTCATAAGGTAAACTAAGGTCTGCAGCCCATTTTGTTAATAAAGTTCTATTGGCACATAGCCACACCCCTTTGTTTGCATATTGTCTAAGGCTGCTTTCATGCTACATGTGTTTTCATGCACAGTTGAGTACTTGTGACAGAGACCACAAACTGAAAATATTTATAATCTGGCCCTTTGAAAAAAACATCACTGACCCTTGGATTATGGTTAAAATGTTAAAATAACCCAATTGTAAATTATATGTGGCCAGGGAATTCTTAAGTGGACTATTAACTTATGGAGCTGTGGTCACTATAAGGACAGCTGCAAGGACTCCCTGGTGGGAAGTCATGGCTTTGGCCTTCTCTATGTACTGTGACTCTCATAACTGGGACCTAAAAGCTGTACCCGTGTGGAGTCCTTAGAAGAGATTCTGGCTCCTGTGGGGCATGGGACTTCTACGCCGAGGTGGAGAGTACCCACCTATGTCGATCTGACTTCCTTGCATCTGAGTTGTCACTTATGGAGCTGCAGTCACTATAAGGACAGCTGTAAGGATTCCCTCTGAGGAAGAAGACCGGATGTGCCCTGCAGACTTGCTGTTTTCTATCTGGTACCCTTGGATCTGAATGACAAGTGTGGAAGATTTGGGTCTTGAGTGTTGGACTATCTGGAAGAGTGTAAAAAGAACCCCTCGGCGTTGTTCGATATGCTTTGCTTTTCATGCGAAGAGTGCTTGCTCACAATATTATACACAGCCAGGACTCTGAAGTTGATGGCTGGCTGCTGTATCTGTTAACCATACCTTTAGGTCCTCTTGTTCCATCAATTCCTGCAAGTCCAGGGGGCCCTGGAGGACCTGGTTCACCCTGATAGTTTAATGAAACAGAAGTTACACCTTAATTGGGTTTCAAATACAAATGACACATGCATGACATAATCCACTTATAATTTTCCATAACCAATTTGGTTTTTATAATTCACAGTGATAAATAAATTTGGAAATACATTGCAAGCAGACTATTACATGGGTCTAGTTTTTAAAAGCTGATAAAACTCCCTCAGAATTAGAAGTATCAACACCAACAGGTAGCAACCAGTTCTTTACACTTGATGGTAAAAGAGTAATTAGATCACATAACTTGAATTTTAAGACTTAAATGAACAAGTTGATACTAAATAAACTTATTAGAAGTTATATCACACAGTTTTTTATCCCCAAGGATGGGTAGAAAATTGTATTACATATATTCCAGAAATTGTGATGTAGGCTACTATACTACCTCCTGGCTTCTCAAGGGATATCTTATTCATGATTGTAAAGACCAAATGTATTTATGGCAAAATCTATGATATCTGTAATCAGCTAGGAAGGCTTAGGAACCAGAATTTGGGTTGTTTTACAGATGACTTTCTGTTCTAGTAAACTAGAGGTCATGAGGCAAGTCTCTATAGAGCTGTTTAAACTAGGCTGCGGGTAGCATGAGAAGTAAGTAACTTGGTCATCTTTGTCATGGGAACCAGGAGTGAGCACTGGTGAGAAATTACAGTTATATCACAGCCCTTCCAGAAGTCTCCATTCTTCCCTGAGCCAGACCCTTACATGGGAAAGGGCAATGATGTCCGCTGGCACATATGACTCCTTATGGGTATCCTGAGAATGGAAGATTTTATCATTTCTTCCCTCTTAAAACAGCAGCCACTCACCTGGTCACCTGGAAATCCTGGAAAACCAATGATCCCTCTCAGCCCAGGTGAGCCTGGGGGGCCTGGGGAGCCCGGCAGCCCCGGCTGCCCATTTCGCCCAGGCTCTCCTCTGTGAAATCCGGGTGGCCCGTGTCTTCCCGGCTCTCCTTTCCTCCCTGGCACCCCAGGGCTGCCTTTGTCACCTGATGGGGGTGGAAATGTTCGAAACCTGTTTGAGGAACTCTGGGATGAGCCATAGTTCGGCTGAGAGTCTTGGTCCTACTTTTAGAAGATGAAGCCGAAGGTATTGAGAATCCTAATTCTTGCCCTAGGCTGCAGAGATGGTTTGTGGCTTCAGGGACCTGATTATAGAAGAAGGTGATCTTGAACAGACTCAGGGCCGTCTGACTGGAGTGAGTAAGCAGGATCCTTTGCGTCAACATGCTCATTTTACAGATAAGAAAGAACCTACCCAGAAAAATTAAAACCTTTGTTCACTAACAACCAGTTAAGCAGAGAGCCAAAACAAGAATTCAGGTTTCATGGAGATTGGGAAAGAGAACACAAGTGTTTAGATCAAAATCCCAGCTACACGTGTGCTGTTTCTGAGGCCGGCAGCACAGGCAGGGGGATGCTTGTTAGAAAGGCAGAGGCCGACTTGCCCCAGCCCTGTGCATTCAGAATCTACATTTTAACAAGAGTCCCCATGGACTTACATGAACATCGCAATTTGAGAAGCACTGGTCAAACCGACTTGGGTAGTCTTCGTGCTATTCATTTCAATACCAGCCACTAAAAATAGGGGTATTTAAACCTGGAGCCAGGGTTGTATGTCTAACTAAGGATTGTTCCTAGTTTGGAACATCTAAATCAATAAATACATATGAATTTCAGCTCAATTCTAGCGTGGAAAAGAAAAAGAATCACCATAAGTTCATTGGTACACATTTATATCTAAAAAGTGACCTATCTTTATCTTAGCATCACTGGGAAAGTTGCCTCATGCTTGCCTGAACAATCTGTAAAGAAGTCAATTTATTTGATATGGGTAAAAATCCGAAGTGTTTACCTTCTTGTCCTGGGAATCCACCATCTCCAGGAGGTCCAGGTTCCCCGACTTCCCCATTTTTGGAAATTATAGCCATTTCTCCTTCATCTCCTGGGCGTCCTCTCTCTCCTTTAGATGTTAATTATGCAAGAGTAGAACAAAGAGAAGCATGACCCACGCGATTCTTCTGTCATGACGCTTCGCGTCCAGTCTGCAAGTCCCCGTTGAATCTACTAAACTGTATTTATGTTTATAGGTTGCACGGTATCAACATTTCAAATTGGTTTTCTAAAAGAAAGGCCAGGCCTTTTACACTCCTGTCCCAACTTGTCCAGACCAGGGACCGCCCAGTGAATGTTTGTTAAATTCAGCCAAACTGGTCTCGGAGTCTTAAGCGAAAAAAGACAGGCTTGAAAAGTTCCAGGTCTGAAATATGTCTCTTTTTTTTTCTATAAAATTTAAATTGCCCAGCTCATATTTTCTAGGTCCCTATCTTCCTTTTCCTAGCCACTCCTATTATTTTCCTTACATTAAAAAAAAACAAGACACTTTTCTCAACTTGGTTCTGCACATAGAGAATTCCAGAAAGTAGGAAAGGTACATGATGTAGCTGCCTGATTTTCGTAAACACAGCCCAGTTGTAAAGCGTGTTGGAGTGGGCTCCTATGAGCTTGGTGAGAGCCAGTTATTAACAATTCGAGAATTTCGTAAGCCAATTGTTAAAGAGTTGGCAGCTTTAAATCGGCCATGGTGAGAGAATTTATGCTGATCGGCAATCACTGCAAGTCAGGGCATCTATTTAAATTTTGTTTTTGTGAACTAGTTTATCTGCACATCACTGGCATTAACCTCATTTTTTACACTTTTTAGTGGTACAATTGTTTAGCAACATAATAGCACAACAGATATTACATATCTAAGCTAGCGAAGAACGACTCTTTAATTTCTGGATTCTGCATAAATAATTTACAGGCTAGTAAAACAAAAAAAATAATAATAGCAAAATCAATCAACTGAGAAGTAAAAGTAATTTGAATTAAATATGAGGCTATTTGCCCAAAGGGCTTTAAGGACAAAAATCTTGTTTCTAAAAATTGACAAGCATTCATTCTCAATGCTGGAAATGAAATGTTATGCTCACTCACTGCGGTCTCATGGCAAAGAGGTACAAGTAAATATTTAACAGGGGTGGGCCCAGAACATTTAAACCAGTGATCTTGAAACCTCTATTTTTTATACTAAGGAAAATTCTTAGTTTAAATAAAGCTTGGGGGAGACCAAACTCAGGCCCCGATGTAAGTGGACTCATTCTAGTTCAGAGGTTGGTAAACTACAGCCCAGGGGCCAAATCCTGCCTGTGGCCAGTTTTTATGCAATCTGTGAGCTCTGTATGGTTTTTATGCTTTTAAATCATTGGAGAAAATCTTAAAACAAGAATAATATTTTATGACATGCGAACACTAAATGAAGTTCAAATTTCAGTGTCCATAAATAAAATTTCTCTGGCTTTCATGTTACGAAAGTTGAACTGAGTAGTTGCAACAGAGACCATACTGCCTGCAAAGCCTGAAATATTTATATCTGGCTTTTTAACAACAAAAAAAAGAAGTCAGTTTTTTGAGTTTTTTTTTTTTTTCATTAAAAACAAATTGAAACAGAATTTGGGGGCCAGGAGCCCTTCCCAAAAGGTGAGCAGTTTCTCCAAAACCCAATAGCTATAAATCGAAGCACTTGTTAATTTTCTTCTATTAACAGAGAAATTCATTTACCATCGTTTTATGTAATCCGATCGAGAGGTAAGAAAAATTGCTTTTGTTTCAAATTCTAAAACCACAGAACCAAAAGGAAGAGGAACGCAAGCTGCAAGACAGTCCCATTTTATTTTTTTGGACATCATATTTATAGACTCTGATCAAATACCGCAAGCAAACCTACATTGTGTCACTGTGCTGGAAACTGCTTTTACCTTTGGCGCCTTTCACTCCCGGGTCTCCGAGGAAGCCAGGCCAACCTTCCTCTCCGGCTTCTCCCTTCCTGCCGGGGTATCCCTCTGGGCCAGCCTTTCCTCTCTCTCCCGGAAAACCTCGGAAGCCTGGCAGCCCCTGGGGTCCTGATGAAACAGAAACATGACTTTTTAGGGAAACATTTTTAAGGCTAGTATGGTTCCCAGATTTTGTTCCTTGTCATCCATGTACAGACGTGCACTGCCACCTAATTCTGAGTTTGTACTGACAGCGAATAACCACTATCAACCACATAGCATGGAACAGCTGGGCTCTCCCACTTGGTCCTCAATTTTCTGCCCCACAGATCTCAAGTGTGGGCCCTTAGGTTTCTGAGTCCTGATCTCATGATGGTCTCAGAGAAGTGGATGTGAGGGAGGAGGATGGAGAGAGGAGGGTCCTTCAAAGTAGAAGCGCGTTAGCCCTGACCCTGCGATTTATGGCTTCTACCCAGTTCATCGAGCAGAAGTGTTCCTGGGTTCTGCGGACCTAACACCACACCACCCTTTTCCCATCCACCTACACCAAAACATTTGCCACCGGAAAAATGCAGAGGACGAGGAGAGGGAGATGTCACCAAGAGAAAGACAAAGCCGGGCTAATGTAACAGAATATTCTGCAGTGCAGTCATACCTAACAGGCTTCACCTGGCTGTGGATTTCAAGTTTCTAAAATGAGGAAAATAATTGAGAAGTACTACCCACCCTTTGGGCCTGGAAGACCGGGTCGTCCATCATCCCCAAAGGGGCCTGGGATTCCCGGGGGTCCTGAGGGTCCATCTGCCCCTGGCCGTCCCGGGACTCCTGGGAGGCCCTTCATTCCACCTGGGCCAGGAGGCCCCACTTCCCCTGGCTGTCCTTTCCAACCGGGGGCACCTGAGACAAAGCACAGTGATGACAGCGTACGAAGACTGAAGACTGGCTTCACACAGGAGCAGTAAAAAAAATATTCGCGGTAGGTTAAATTCGAATCTATGATATCTAATTGTGTATTGCAATTAAACAAAGTGCAACAGTATTTATCAGCTAAAAATATATCAGCAGCACCTCTACCATTTTACGAATATATATATTTTTTCTGGCTGCTATAAAAAGAAGGGCGGAAAATATTTAAAATAATTATTGCTTGAATGAATATTTCCTGATAAAGATGCATGAATAGTGTAAAGTTATTTTTTTAAGAGAGATGAATAGGGGTAAAAAACAAAATGTTATCTGTATTTACTCTTAGGGAAAAAAAATACTAATAGAAGAAAACTTTCCAGGTGCTTCCGAAGCCACAGCAAGTGAATTTTGGTCAGGCTGTGAACTGTGATGAGCAAATTGTAGAAATCAGAACAACATCATCTATTATTATTGCTGCTAGAAATAAAGCTATAGGGTTGATCCTACAAGACGGCATATTCCTGCTTTGGGGTAAACGCAATAGGATTTACAATCTGAATGGTGAAATGAATTGAAATGAAGACCACATTGGAAACAGCCCCCCAGCACCTCGTGTTGACAGACATTCCTTCATGGGTCTCTGTGAGTTCCTACATGTCTTGCTGAGTATGCCAAGAATGCAAGGTCGCGACTGTTATTTACCTGGGCTATTTCCCAGGTGATTTTTGCAACGAGCAGCCTTGGCAGATGACAGATGACACAGCACTTCCGCAGTACAGAAAGAAGGTTGTCTCGTGGGCTACTATAAGGTGGTGCTTCCCCAGACTCAGTGCAGATACTGCAACCCCCTGTGTGTGTGGCATCTATCTAGCACCTCTTATGTTGCCCTGAAAGACTTGGGGGATTTAGGGAAATGACACAAACCAACACGAAACTCATGCTACCTGCTGTGCAGTGAATAATGACGCGTCCTTAGTCTCTGACCCAGAAGTTTTGGTTCTGTGAGCATCAGTGAAAAGGCAACCAGCAAGCTCATTCCTCTGTAAGTCAGGTAAAGTCTCAGACCCTTCACAGTTGTTGACACCTGTTGATACTTACCTGGACTGCCTGGAGCCCCGGGGAGTCCCGGTTGCCCTGGTAACCCAGGGGCACCCCTTTCACAGGAATGGCCAGGTGGGCCTGGGACACCTGGAAATCCAGGGCTTCCCTCTCTGCCTTTGGGACCTTTGAGACCTGGGAATCCGGGAATGCCAGCTGGTCCTGAAATGATACCATTCGTCCATGACACTCATGGCATAAAACCATTCAGATGACCTACAACAGAGGGCTCACTCCTATCAATACTGGAAGTCAATGTTTTGAACTGGCTCAGTGCTTAAATGAGTTAAGTCTCTCAGTGGATTTTCTTTTCACAGATCAGGAGCTCTAAATGAAGGGAAAGCCGGGCATAGCTAAGAGGGTTAAACTCGATAAGGTTATATAGACAACAAAGAAGTTGCTTATGCAAATGGAAAAAACACGTGGTTCTTTCTGATTTTAATTAACCTCTAACATTGCAGCACATCTCCTCATTACTTACAAATTCAGTTTGTGCTGCACAAATTTGCATTTTGTAAGATATTTCATCACTTGAACTCTCAAGTTTCTGTTTATTGGAAAGGCAGCGTCATAATCTTCAGAAAGAAAAACAACCCTCTCCCCGTAACTCCCACCCTAACCAAGAAAATCTATTTTATTTTTCCACGTTTCCATTATATTTTGGTTCATATGTTTACATTTTTAAAGTAGTCATCACAGTGTGTATATGCAATTGTTAGATTATTTCACATTGCAAATTAACCTGCAAATGTTTTCCATTTTGTTGTAATCTTTACAAATATAATTTTAATCCCTAATGCTAATAGCTGAATAGTATTCCTTTGGCTGTGTGTGTCTGTGTTACTTAACTCTCTTCATTGTTTCCATTGTTCCTTTATTATGGATAGTAAATATGACAGTTGACCCTGAATGGGTCCATTTATACATGGATATTTTTTCAATAAATACATGTAATACTATAAATGTATTTTCTCTTCCTTATGATTATCTTAATAACATTTTTTATTCTCTAGCTTTATTGTAAGAATCCAGTATGTAATACTCATAACATACACAATATATGTTAATAGACTTTATGTTATCGATAAGGCTTCTGATCAATAGTAAGCTATTAGTAGTTAAGTTTGCGGAGAGAAAAAACGTATATGCAGATATTTTACTGCTCGAGGTATCAGTGCCTCTAACTCCCACATTGTTTAAGGGTCAACTGTACAAGTGTATTTTCACATTAACCTTTTTCTTCTGTTGAATACTTCCTTTAGACAGATTTTCACAAGTGAGACAGTGAGATTACTGAGTCAAATTATCTTCATTGACTCATATCGTGTGTTATCTTGTTCCTTTCCAATTATTTAGGTTTTCGTAAATGAATATTTTGACTGATAAACTACCAAGTAAGCTTCCTGAGGACAGAGAATGTGGCTCACTCCTTGCCCTCCATTTGCTCCATACTGTTGTGCTATCGTGGGTCCCAAACAAATGCTGACCCATCCAACGTCAGAAAGAAATGAGGGCAGTGTTTATTAAAAGTGGTCTGGGATCCAGTCTTGGTCACCAACACCTGAGGGGCTAACGTTCAGACTGGATGACTGGGCCTCACCCAATCCTGCTGTAGTAGATCGGGGTTCCTTAGATTGGGGCCCAGAGTTGATGATTTTAATGACCCCCTTACCCAAGGTTATTTTTAAGTCCATTAAAATCCAAAAGCCTCTGCTGGGGATCAAGAATTCTTAGTGATCTCAGAAGAGGATGTGAATCAGTGCCAGGGTGTCCTCTGTCCTGACTTTCTTTGCTACCTTGCCTGCTACCTCTCCTGGAATGCAAGTCCCTCCACCCTGTCACCTGTTCGAACAAGTCAGCTTGTTCCCCAGGGCTCATTTCAGGCCCCGCTCTCTCATGGAGCCTTTCTGAACTCCAGCCCACCCTGCTCCAGCCCTCTGAGCTGCTCTTCTTCCCCCCGTCTGTCCTGTCCTCCTCCAATCTGGCAAGATGAGCGGGCAGATTACACAGTCTCTGCT